TGTGCTGCTGCGTGGCTGTGAGCCCCTTGGGACGCTGCCGCCGGCTCCTCCGTCCGCCGGTTCTCTTCTTGGTTTTTGTAAGGAGCAGTCCTTATCTGCTGGTGAGCAGGAACAGCTCTGCCCCGCCGCCAGGCTATCTGAAGCGTGCCGAGGGGAGCACCGGAGCAGTATCAGTAACCGAGATAGGCCTATCGCCTTCCAAAGTTGACAAAGGAGCCGGCAGAACGAACTGGGAGCAACGTACGTACAATCTCCTGCATTGAACTGTCTCCTTCTGTGAGCTGGCGGGATGCTTCACTCTAAAACAGGCTGGAAAGCCAAAATGACGGCCAGGCTAATGAACGGGGAAGGGGGAAGAGAACAGAAAACAAAAAAGGGGGGTGGGGTGGAAAGAGACACCTTGATTTCTAAAGAAAATCCCCTTCCTTGTCACTGGTGCAGCTCTTTGGTGTTTGACGTGCCCCTGCAGGAAGGTAAATGCTCCTTTCTGACACTCCTATAGTTTGTAATCATTGTTAGAGTTTATTTCACTTTCTAGCAAAATCCCCTTCCTTTATCATTCCATTTCTTTGTTCTAACGGAGTCGTAGGCTGAGATTGGGCTCTTCTAAAACTGACATTTATGCCTGCAAAGAAATGTCTTTCTCTCCTTTGCCCAGTGAAGTGTTTTGCTTTGAAATTTTTCTTTTTTTCTCTGATTTTTCTCTCCACAGGGGATTCGTGGCTGTCTGCCTGGTCTTTCCCACGCTGGTGCTAAGGCAGTGCTCCACGACTCATGTGAAAACTCGCTGCTCCTCAATTTCTGTGTGATAAGATACGGCCCGGTTTTACGACTGTGCTGTCCTGTCTGGGCTGATGTCTTTCACTGTATCTCTGTTTTTCTTGGAGTGCTGTATTTTAACGGTTTCCCCTTCCTCAGACGGGTAATCGTAGGACTTCCTTGGATTTTTTCCTGCATATGCAGTTCACCGTTTCCTCTTCTTCCTTTCCACATGTCCGTGTTGCTAAGATTTAGCTCCTGTGTTTTCTGATAGCATTTTGCACCGTTTCCTGGGAACTTTGCCTCCCCTCTGTAATGCTGCTTTTGCCATGGGGTGTTTCCTGGCCCATGTTTCTTGCACGGTCAGTGGTCTGCCTACCTCAGGAGGTTCTGCTATCCCAGTGCCTTTGGTCAAGTAGGTTTTTTCAGTGATCCTGGTGTAGCAACTTTACATTTCTAGGTGTAGCTGTACCTTCAGCTGCTGGTTTGGGTGAGACAACGTTAACAGCACAAAGCAGCTAGCTGGTCGGCTTGTTTTGGCACCAAACTCAGGTAGCACAACTAGCAGATAAATGGCAGTGGTGACAAGAGACAGGGAGCCAGAAATCTCAGGGGGCACACCTGCAGCTGGAAGAGGATGACCGTAAATTTTGGCCTAATGTTTTTTTTCTTATCACCTTTGGTTATACTCAGTTATATTTAGTTCGGTCTCTGCTCCTCATTGCTGGACAGCACTAAATCTTTCCAGAAGGAGAAAGGGACCTTCATGCCATGGCTGCTTCTTGGGTGGCTCTTCACTCTCCCTGGTGTCTTTATTTAAAGGAGTGATTAAAAGGATGAAAGGATGTCAGTCTGCTCCTGGGGTGTTCTTTGGAAGGTCAGTCAGAAGGTTTTGTTTTGATAGCAGCATTGCTTTACAGATCCTTTGTTATCAAGAAAAAGGACCTTGAGTTGATGTTTCTTCTGACTCTAGTTACAGAAAAAAAAAATGGCTTGGGGATTGGCATCACTGTCACATAAAACAAGGTGTTTGTGGCTTTCTTCAGAGTCCCCCACCATGAGGGGAGGATCTATCTGCGTTAGATCCGTGGGCAGGAGCTGGTGTCTGCTCAGGAGCCTCCCGTTCTAGGTATCACAGAATCACAGAATAGTAGGGGTTGGAAGGGACCTCTGTGGGTCATCTAGTCCA